TGTCAGAAAGCATCACCAGCTCAGGGCCGTCAGTTTGCTGCTGTTCTCTCTCATGCAACACAGGCAGTGCCTCTCCTGCTTGGAGAAAATGAGTATTGGCAGCATCTCCAGCAGCAGCAGAGCGAGTGCAGGGTGCAGGTCTGGTATTTTAAGGTTGGCTCTTTTGTCTGCACTTGTGAGGAAGCTAAGGTAGTGTTTGTGGAAGAGGTTTGATTAAATGGCTGCAACATAATCCTCTTCTGGCTGGATGTGCCTCCCTGCTGGAGCCCTCACCCCTCCCAGCACCCCTGTGCCCTGGTCTGAGCTGGGCATGTTGCTGAAATACCTCTGAGCACAAATTCTTCTGCCTGGGGTTCAGGGCCATAGAATCATAGAATAGTTTGGGTGGGAAGGGACCTTTCAAGTTCATCCAATCCAACCCCCCTGCAGGGAGCAGGGACATCTGCAGCTAGAGCAGGGTGCTCAGAGCCCCATCCAACCTCCCCTGGAATGGTTCCAGGGATGGGGCAGTGACCACCTCTCTGGGCAGCCTGGGCCAGGGGCTCACATTCCTCATCATAAAATAACTCTCTTCTATCTAGTCTAAACCTCTCTTTTTTAGTTTCAAACCATCTCCCCTCACCCTGTCCCAACAGGCCCTGCTAAAAAGTCTGTCCCCATTGTTCTGACAGGCCCACTAGGATGAGGCTGATCAGGTTTGTTAGCAGGTACCTTCCCCCAGGCAAGTAGCTGTGAAAGGGGATTTAGGAGAGGTGAGAGGGTCTTGCCAGCATGTGCAGGAAGTCTGTGGCTCTGCACTTGGCATGAGGCTCCAGGTCTCTGCTTGCTGAATTTCAGCAGCCTGCAGTTTGGGAGCCTGTAGGAACCAGAGTCTCTTGTCTGGTGGTGGTACATAGCACTGCCTGCCCTGGGAAGCTTCTGGTGTGGATCTGTGCATCAGCTGGCCCTTGCTGATCCCACCAACAGATCCCTTGTGGTGGGATCTCTGAATGAATGTAATGATCTGCTGGGTCACCAGACAGGTCCTCCACTGGTAAGGTGGTGTGGCCTTTTGTTTCCCAAAAAACAACTTGAAGAGATGCTGATTTCCACACAGTTGTAACAGCACAGAGCTGCTCTTGTAAGTAAACCAGTATCTTCAGGTGGTGGAGCCTGAGAGGTGCAAAGGGGAAGGGAAAAACAGACACCTCTGCTGGAGGCAAGCTTAAAGATTGCACTGAACTGTTCATCAGCCATAGTTTCTCCATTGACTCCTCCTGATGCACATGTACAGCTCTTTCCTGGAGTTATCACACAGCTGATGGGCAGCTGCCAGTCAAAAAGACTTCTGACCTTCTTTGAAGTTGATTTTTAGTTACAATATTAAAAATAAACTGAAGTCTTCCAGACAAAAACAAATGAGACCTCCACAAGAATCCACTGTTCATTCACTGCAAGAAAACTCCCTTGCTGGAGATGGCTCTTGGAGGGCAGGGCCTTGTGCTAGCTGGATGTTGGGTTGCTGCTGCATCCTGCTTAAAAACTTCATTACACACTCAGAGGGGAGCAAACCAGCTCCAACTGGAGCTCCTCTCTATCAAAGGCACCACTAATTAGTCAGACTTGAGGCAGAACATTCTTTGGTGTTTTCTGATGACTCTGTACAGGTTCAGTTGAGGGCACAAGCTGTACTGGGTCAGCCTGGCAGGCCTGCTGCATCCTCTCTGTTTGAGGTGTTGAGTGAGGAGATGGCCTCTGAACACTGCCTGTAGCTGATGTTTAATGATCCAGTGGAACCACAACAGTCATGGGAAACTTTCCTGTACACCAGCTGGCAGGGGGTTGTTAAGCATTGACCTGACCCATTGTCCAGCTTACCAGCTAAATGACTTGGAGCTGGAGCTGTGGCATTTTCTCCCTCCTGAAATGCTGCTACATCCATCCCCCTGCTTCAGAGCTTCCAGAGCTCCTTCCCAGCTGGGTCTGCTCTACCTTTTGGTGAGTTCTGCAGTGGCTGCTTTGCTTCAGGGACAAATGCTTCATTTCTCTGTACTCACTCAGGGCTGTGTTGTGTGTTTTGCACAATGACACACTTGGGTGTCTTCATTCTGCCTGGTACTTCAGTATCCCTTTCACTGGAGAGTCCAGGTCCTCAAATGGCCACAAACATCATGCTCAGAACACTCTTCCTTCCTTTTTAACAGTTTCAGGTCAGAATAAATCTCTGGTGAAATTCAAGGCTGCTTGTGATGCTGCCTGGAGGAATTTGGAAATGCTCAGAGGGAGAAATAGAAGCACAAACACTTTCTTAAATCCATCCTGCTGCACACACAGTGGCTTGGATCTTGTCCTTGCCCCTCTTTGGATTTGGATTATTTGCCTGCCTCCATACTTTCTGTGGGGCAGATGTTGAGCCAGGATGTGCATAGCTGAAAAGCCTCCTTGGTGTTCCCAAAACTGCAGGGTGGGTGGGTTGAGGACTGCTGGCTTATTGGAGCTTTTTGGGTGTTCTTGTTTGAAAGAGACAGGGGCAGGGGGGAAAAGAATTTATTATCATTGTGTTGCTGTGGTCCCTCATGATAAAGGAACTTAATCATGAGGAGTGGTGAGAAATTCCCTAGAAATGTCTGGATTCTAGCAGAGCATCCTCAGTGGTAGTTTGATTCCAGACAGATGAATCTTTGAGCTTCTGGGATTTTTCAGCTATAGATGGGCCAAAGTTGAAAGCTTCTCTGATGTGTTTCTCTGCTCAGAACACAGGAGAAGTGGTCTCAGTGGCTGAGAGCACCCAGGGAAGTGTTCCAGGGAAAGCAAACAAGGCTGACATGGTGGCAGGAAGCTGTGACTCCAAGGTCAGCCTTGAGATTGCTCTGAACAGCAGGGTCCAGCAATTCTGAAGCCATTAATTGGTGAGAATTGGCTGCAGAACTGGGGCTGTGTCACCAGGTAGAAGTGACTGTAATTTGGCTTCAAATCAGCAGCAGTTGCCAGTTAAACTGACCTAATAAGCTGAAAGAGACTTGCAAATAAACTGAGGAGTCTGTGCAGAACAGGGTCAAAACTCCTGCCTTGGGAGGGCTCCAGGCTTGGAGTAAAGAGCAACTTGCTCCTTCCCCTCCTGCTCTCCCTTGTTACTGAGCAGATCTAAACTGTGCCTCCTGCTGATGCTGTCCCTCCCCACCATGTGAAGCTGAGCAACAGAGAACCAGCAATTTCCCCTCTTGGAATATGCAGATTCTTGTAGCACTGAGGTGGCCTGTGCTGTGAAGGAAATCATTAAATATCTGCTTTATGCTGAGCATTGCTGGAGCAAGGGGAAGGCTTGAAGGATCTCTTAATTAAGCATTCTCCTTGCTAAGCAGAGGAAGGAGAAAAGCTTTAATAAGGTTGTTGAGGAGGGGTTTGGATGGTTTGGGTTTTGTTTTCCCTCCAGCTTTCTCCTCTTTTAACATCTTGATTTTTTGTATTTTATTTCTTTTCTCTGAGAGGAGTTCTGCAGTTGTGCCTACAGTGGTACCTGTAATACCTCTCTGGAAGATTGGGCTCTGGAAACCATTAGGGCTCCACTGCCCTGGGCACCTGGGCCAGGTCTTCACAACCCTGGTGGGCAAGAAATTGTTCCTTGTGTCCAACCTAAACCTCCCCTGGTGCAACTTGAGACCATTTCCTCTTGTCCTGACACTTCTTCCTTGGGAGAAGAGCCCAACTCCCACCTGGCTCCAACCTCCTGTCAGGAGCTGTGGAGAGCCAGAAGGTCTCCCCTGAGCCTCCTTTGCTCCAGGCTCAACACCCCTGGTTTCCTCAGCTGCTCCTCACCAGACTTGTGCACTAGACCCTTTCCCAGCTTTGTTGCCCTTCTCTGGCCACGCTCCAGCCCCTCAAGGTCCTTCTTGGAGTGAGGAGCCCAAAACTGAACCGAGTAGTTGAGGTCTGGCTTCACCAGTGCTGAATCCAGGGGGACAATCCCTGCCCTGGTCCTGCTGCCTGGTGTGAACTGGAAAGGTGGGAGACCCTGTGATATCTCAGTGCTCTACCACACCTGCCCTCCAAGGCACCCCTGAAGTGATGGTTCTCCAGCCTCATCAGAGGACTGCCTCAGATTCCAGCCCAGGGACATCCTCTTCAAGAGCCAGCAAGAATCTAAATCCCAAAGGGGTTCCCCTTTGTCTGGAGCTCCCAGGTGAGGCAGGGGCTGGTTCCTGGCTGTGTTTCTCCTCAAGCTCCTCTCTGCCTGCCTGAGGCCACGCAGCACACTTGCCCTGGGAAGGACAGGCTGAGCCCCCAGTGAAGGGGTTT